AGGGCAAGGAAGGTAAGCACAAAGCGGAAGATGCGGAGGATCTTCTGAGCTTGCACGATCCAACTGCAGAATGGGAAGTGTATCCCATTTGTATGTAATCCAACACCCATGATTGCTGATCTAATCAGGTAAAGGGGAGGAACGGAGAATGCACAAAAACTTCAAAGGTTAGGGAAGACAAGAGGAAGAGGAAGAGATCAATGGAAGGAGACTATTCGGAAAGCACGAAAACGATGACAGTGGAGAGTGCACGAAAAGGTCAAGGGTGCAAGTGGAAAATGGAACTAGAGTCGGGATGGAGCACACGACCGCCGAGAATTCAAGAAGACGAGAAGTGATGGACTCTTGCCAGGCAAGCTCCAGATAGAGAAACCGTGTTGCCTCCATTCCTCGTATGCACCTTGGCTCGGATACCCATCCTAATCCAGAATTGCTCTCTTAAGGCACAGAAGCGAAAAAGAAATGCAAAAAAGCTGTACATATGAACTGCATGCAACTTTCAACAAAAGAACCCGCAAATGATACCGAAGACCAAAAAGTCCAAAAAGTGACGGACATTCCAAACAGACAGAAACAAACCTATGGCGCAAGTCTCAGAACAAAAATGGTCGATCACCATCACAAGGAGCAACAGTGATGGCTCCTCGTGGGGACCGGAGGCCGCAGGGTGCAGGGGGACCGGGGATGAGTGGTTTCACCATTGGCTGCCGAGGTGAGATGAGGGATCTCCCCTAGATCATGAGGATGGTGTGCCAGGGGTGGGGTAGGTGCAGGTGAACAGCCTCCCTCCCACTGACTTACACAGCAGAGGAAGAGGCCTTGTGGTTTCCGTGATAGAGGTAACTAGATATAAGCATAAGTTTTCAGTTTGGATGGACAGAACTGAAACATGAAGGGTGGGATGTTAATCCTTCTCCTTTGCAGACATTACCAATCCCTCGCCCAGGTGATAAAGTAGGAACAACGACAGAATCTGTCTCATCGGAGAAACCATCAGACACAAAAAAAACCTCGAAAATCCCTGCCTTGCTCCACGAACTCAAGAAGGTGGGAGGGTCGAACCTCAAGAGCACTAGCCAACAGCACTACCCGACAGCTGAAATTCTGGTTCATTCCACATCAACTCAAGGTGGAACTCTGGAAAAATCAAGCCCGTTGGGACAGCATGGCCGAGGACCCTAAGCAAGTTGCACGCAGGGGCAGGTATTTGAAAAAGTCCAGAGTAGTTGTCAATTGTGATGTCTGACAGCTCTCAAGAGGGCTTTTTTCAAGAGTAAGTGGAGCGACGGCGGACCCTTGGTGGTGTATTTGACCAATGTAGTATGAACCTTGGACACTAGGACTTCAGAAAAGATAAACAAAAAGAACAACGGGCAGCTGGGTTTCCAGCGTGCGCAGCTGCCCACCAATAGACTGGACCCATCACGTTGGGGGCGCTCACTCTCTTCTTTTTTCCCAGTAGAACTAAGCTATATTCTTCTCTCTTTTTTTCTTCCCCTCACTAATCTATATTCTTCTCTCAATTTTACCTTTAAGTTACACGACCTACCCACCACCACTACTCCTCAAAGCCTATACAGGGGACCCAAGCATGACTACATCTCACAATCAAGGGGATGCATGTTGCTGCCCGTCCTAATAGGCTGTGGTAAGGGAGTCGAATGGGCCGGCTGACACAAAGACACAGGATTTTTGGCGAGTAGCTGCACCACCATATACTTTCCCCGCCCCCATCCAGTAACAGTAGTGTCTACGGCTTGCACTGTCCCACACACCACGCAAAACTCACACGCACATCCGGAGCGAACACGACAACACACACCTACTGTCACCTACTGTCCAAAGACCCTACAAGCCAACTATCTGAGTTGGTTGGCACCAAGCCTCCGTGGGGATTGAACCCACAACCGCCTGAATGCCACTTGCATGCCTAACCAACTCAACTCGACAATGCTTGCCCCCCTGGCTAAATTTCGGCTATTTCGCACCACCTCCCAGGGTTGGCGCATCGCAGATGTTCGAAAAGAAAGGAGATCGATGGAGGCAGACGTCGCACAGGACCTGTTCCGACCACTCCCCTGTAGCCTTCGACGTCCCTTCTGTGAGCTGCGGACATTGCGGTAGAACCTGGCACTGAAGAACCTTCTAGACTCTCCTACGACCACGCCCAGCAAGGACTGGTTTCCAGCAGCCTGCCAAACCTTAAACCCTGACCCTGTTTTCCACCAGCCTGCCAAACCTTAAACCCTGACCCTGTTTTCCCCCAGCCTGCCAAACCCTAAACCCTGGCCCTGTTTTCCACCAGCCTGCCAAACCCTAAACCCTGACCCTGTTGATCCATGACAACGAGCTCCGGAAATCTCAACAGATCTGTCTCTCTCTCTCTCTCTCTCTCTCTCTCTCTCTCTCTCTCTCTCTCTC